CGAGAAATCACCCCCTAGGGGGGATGGCCACGCCGCAATCCCTTCTCCTCCATTCTCCTCTCGGGATCTTGGGCATGCACGCACACGCGCCCGGCGTGAGTTTTAAGCCACTGGGTCTGGGACTCGAACCACAGCCGACTACGTGGGAGTCCAGCGATGTCACCATTATGCCATCTGCTGGCCCAACCCCGTTCTTTTATATGACTTAATCAGTCGCTCCATCAGTAAGGTAAACCCTCTTGGGTCTGTAAGATCCTTCCCTAATCTGACTGCTTTCCGCCTCCCTACCAGCATCTTCCTGGTCCAAGCCAAGGTCGGCCTGCATTAGTACGATCACAGCCTAATGGTCTTCTTACTTCTGGTTCACCCTCTTCCAGTCCGCCCTGAAAACAGCAACCCGAGTGATTCCTTTTGGAGAGGTTTTTTGCCATAAGGTGTGTGTGCTCGCCAGAGAGACAGCCAGAAAGCAAGAAATCACCCCCCAGGGGGATGGCCACGCTGCAATCCCTTCTTTTCCATTCTCCTCTTAGGATCTTGGGCACGCATGCACACGCGCCCAGTGTGAGTTTAAGCCACCAGGTCTGGGACTTGAACTGCGGTCGGCTACATGGGAGTCCAGCGACATAGCCATTATGCTAACTGCTGGTCCCTTGAGTTATTCCTTTAAAGTAAAAAGTCAGATCATGCTTGTAGCTTCCTGGTGGTGGTTCCCCGCCGCCGATCAGTGGCAGGTCTCTGGTCCTTACATAATCTCACCGCCTCTTGGACTTTACCTCCTCCCTCCTGTCCCCTGTTTATCCAGTTCCAGTCACAGTGGCCTTTTTGCCGTTTCTCAGACAGGCTCATTGCACCCTGACCCGCAGCCTTTGCCTTTAACGCTACTTCTGCGGGAAGCGGTTCTTCCAGATCGTGACAGGGTTTAGACATCTACTTGCTTTGGACTCTTGTTTCTCGTAGGTCGTCCTTTTAGTGAGGGTGAGTATCCAGCTCATCTCCCTATAGCCTGCTTCATTGTGATTTTTAATAGATCTTTTCACATATATTGTGTAATAAGGACTCATCAGATTCTCTGTTTGTCAGTTTCGATGAATAGTGCTTTACAAGGAATTTATGTTTCAGCTAAAATTTCAAATTTATCGTTAGGAAATTTTTATGACATCTCCTCTGTTGGGTAGGATTTGTAATGTCTTGTAATTTTTTGTTTTGGTCATTTGTATTTTCATCCAGGTTTGTTGTTTGTTTGTTTGTTCAGTCTTGGTAGATGTTTTACAGTTCTGTTAATTTTGACAATAAACAGCTTTGGCAATGCTCATTCTTCCCTTTCATATTTTTTTTCTATTTCATTAGTATCTGTTATTCTCTCCTTCCTCCTTTGGTTTTAGTTTGCTGTTCATTGTCTTGCCTTTTAAGTTGGAAACTTACAATATTGGTTTTCAACTTCTTAAAAAAGTTTATTTATGGGACCTGCAGATGACATAATGGTTACATCACTGGACTTCCATATGGCTGACTGTGGTTTGAGTCCCAGACCCGGAGGCTTGAAACTCACACTGGGCACGTGTGCTTGCATGCCCAAGATCCTGAGAGGAAAATGGAGGAGAAGGGATTGCAGCGTGGCCATCCCCACAAGGGATGATTTTTCGTTTTCTGTCTCTGTGTCTCTCGTGAGTGCACACATCCTATAGGAAAAATCTCTCTGAAAAAAAAGTTTAGGGGGAACCAGCAGTTAGCATAATGGCTGTGTCGCTGGACTCCCACGTAGTCGACCGCAGTTTGTGTCCCGGACCCAGTGGCTTAAAACTCACGCCGGGCGCGTGTGCGTGCATGCCCAAGATCCCGAGAGGAGAATGGAGGAGAAGGGATTGCGGCGTGACCATCCTCCCTGGGGGA